TTTTGGCAGGTCTTTTTAGCCATATAAATTTGGGGGTCCATACATTGCCATCTGGGGACTGTAGGATGAATGAACAGGGGTTGAGTGGAGAATGAGAAGGCCTTTCAATGATATTGCTTTGGAAAACTTCACCTCAGCATCCCACAGATAAATTTCAGTTAGGGTGCTAGAGCTTTTCTTACATGACAAAAGTTTAATTTTTGATTCCTAAAATAAGTATATTATTGTGAATTTTGTACTGATTTTTAAAATAATGTTTGTGGACTGTATCTTTCTGTACTACCTTGTATATTTTTGAAATTTATTAAGTATGTTTGATTTGAACAAAGTAGCTGTTGCCTCTAAAGCAATCTAATGGTTTGCATTTGTCTGGAGGTCTGGTTCATTTTTGCCTGTAGTATTACACTGTGGCGTTTAGATGGACTGCTCCTCTGGCTGCGTATCACTTGCCTGTTAAGATACCACAATGCCTGCTGACAAGTGGGATGGATCCTTGCCAAAGCACAGAGGTTGTTGAGTACTAATGGTTTTAACTGGCAAGTCTGTATAATACTGCAAATGTCACCTCCTGTGCAGGAAGTCTTTCCGTGCCAGTACTGAACTTTGGCACCACATGCCTCAAAACATTTGGTCACACCTGGCTGTTCACACATATGTGTCAAATAATAGTGGAGGAAAGGGAAGCATAGAGTTCAAGGGCGGTATTGGCTCGCTGCAAGCAGAAGCTGAATTGCACTGAGCACTTTGGAAACTTATATGAGAGGTACCCAAATGTCACTAGCTGGGAGATAATAGTCCTCTACTTGTCCGTTAGATAATAGCACCAGCAGGGGAGTACTGAATCTCAGCAAAGTCAGTTTGCATTTAACATAAAGACTGTGAAATTGCATTGAAAAATGAAGCCATAATACTAATTAACATATATATAAACATATACAATTAGTATTAACATATCAAACACTAATACATATATTAATTTCTGTTGTGTGGGACAATGGAAAATAAATTCATACTTTCAAGTGTGAGATTGCATAACCCCTGGGATCTACTTCACATGCTTAAAAGTTAAGTCAGATGAGTCTAGGTCTAGAGGACTGGTTTCATAATTGCAATCTGGTACTATATGTTGCTTTTCAAAAACAAGTTAGAGAAACGTCTGTCAGGAGTTACTTAAGAATAACTGGCGCTGTCTTGGGTTAGAGAGAAGGACTCCAGCTACATATTGGACAGAGAGAAAATGGTCCAGTGCTTGTGGTTTTCTGATAAGCTAGGAAAACCTGAAAGTAAAAACGGCAAAAAATAAGTTCATTGTCCAACCTGAGAAAACATAGATAAAAATAAGGATTGGGGAAAAATGTTAGGCTTGACAATACTATTTATAGTGTTTCTGTGGTTGAAAATATTTTAAAGGAAATTGATACTTAAGTTTTTTCACATGAGTATAGCTAACACTGTTCTGGAGTAGCAGAGGAGGAAAGGAAAGAACTAGTTGAGGGTCATGCTGGGCGTACTTTATACGCTTCTTGCACTGATCTCTGACTTTTTAGCTATTATGGAGAATATCAAAGTAGTATTTCATTGTGCAAAGTCAGCATCATAGATTGGCCAGCAGAAATTCAGCTGACTTTGATTTTGTTGCATTTAATTTTTATATTATTTTATTATTGTTCTCACAAAATTGTTTTCAAAATTAAAAAAGAAAAAGCCTGTCTGGCATATAGAACTCCCGTTGTTAGCATTTTCTCAAGAAGTGGGTCAATACAAGAAACCATGAAGAGTAAAGCAGACTGCTGCATGCTTAGCAGCAAAGTTATGGAAAATGTAAGGTAAGTTTTAGCTTTACTTTGAAGCAGATTGTACTTTTAAGTAAAGATATACCAACTCCTAAAAATATACTAGGATGCATATAAATGTGCTGGATAAAGATGCAGAGTAATTAAAATGGAAATTTAGACTTTCTGGTATGCTGTTTATTCCCCACAGGGGAAATGTGGGGAGGAGCTGGTACACCATTTAGTTTTCTGAGCGCCACTGGTACAGCATACTGAATGTAGTCAGTCTGCTTTGACTTCTAATTTAAGCTCCTAGTCTTCCTAGCTTTCCTCTGTTTTAATTACAGAAGACAGACTCTCCTACTGCGTGACTGGACAGGAACCTAGCACCAGTAGTCTCATTATTCTTCCAAAGGAGTCTGTCCTTTCTGCTGGTGAAATAAGGAACCTAAAAGAAGGTGTTAGTGTCTTCATGAAATTTAGGTGATCTGAACAACCCCCCTTTTTCTAAACTGATCAATTTTGGCCCTATAAAATAGCAATTCTGGAGGATGGTGAATGCTTTCAATCCATGCTTTTCTCCTTTTCACAGCCTACTGTCTGCTCAACTCATTTAGTACAAACTCCTTCTATCTTTCCACATGCCTTTATCACTGTTTGTGCAAAAATCTTCTGTACAGCTTGTGCTTAATAGAACAGTCGTCTTATATCTCTTACTTCACTGATTCTCCATCTGTTCTCCATCCAAACCAAAGCTGAAAATTTATCCTCCGCTTTGCATAAATCTCTTCAGCACTTATTCCAGTGCTTTTATTACTTTACATTTTAACTTTACAGCCTTGTGATAGACACTATGTAAGATAGTTCTGCACTGCACTGCACTTCTAAATCATTACATGAAAACAAATATTTCTTCATTCAATCAAATACATCAAGTGCATGTATTTGATTTAAACACTTATTTTCAACTACATGTACGTCATAGTGTGTTCATAAAGGGCGGGCAGTGCTATTCTTTAACATTATAAAATTTTAATTGGTATATAGAATATTTTTTTTAAGCCTTCCTATAAAATTGTAAGTGTCCACAAGATTAACTGGGATCCTCATTTGTTACCAAACTAATTGTGCTCGTTGATGATAGCACCTTCAGGCAGATTAGGTTGAATAACCCTTGAATCATAGAGCAGTGGGAAACAATGTCACCAAAGTATAACAAATCCAGAAGTTCATTAAGCATCACAGAACTAAGTTTTTGAATTTTACAGCCAGCTATTCCCTGAAACTAGTTGTTTTGCCATCTAAAAGTTTATGTGCCTCTTTTTACCTCTACCGAACCAAACCAAACCAAACTGAACCAAACCAGACCAAACTTTGATAGCCATTCAAAGCAGCTCCTTTCACTCCTGATCTTCTCAACAGATTGTTTTGTAGAAGAGTAATATGTGAAAAATTAAAATGGTAGTGTGACAAACTGACAATTAAATGTCTAGTGGTAAGTTATGAGTCATCTTCGATGCCTAGATACTCGCTGACCTGGGCTAGTTAAGATTTTCACCTTCTCAGAAATTCCCTTTTGGCTGGTGGACAGCACTAAGGCATAACGTGGAGGGTGGAACATGACTATTTCTCTAGCGGCAAGGAAGTCCTTATGAATAATGTATATAATTAACTCAAACTATACAGAACAAACAAAAGCGTCTTGGTGTATTATCAACCCATTTTTCATCAAGTTCATATGTTTAGAGTGCAGGACTGTTCCATGTAACATTTTTTGTGGTTCATTAGCCTCATTTCAAGTGAATCAAACTATGGGACTACAACCTGTAGAAGATATTTGTGAGAAAAATTTCCTTTTAGTTCTTCCTTTAGTTGAACCTAAGTAGTCCTCTTAAATATATCCTATCATTCTAGATAGATATAATTGAGTTTTATTTTACTTGGCCATAACAGAAGTATTGTAAATACCAGATACTTTTGTGAGTCACAAGGATGTTGTTCGTGTGTATTTGCAGGATTAGAAACATCTGCTGCTTCAAAATGTGCTATGTCTCTTAGAAATCTGATAATGTCTTCCCTCACCATACTAAGTCTGTGAACCTCTGTGTTACTTATTTGATTTCAATGATTTGTGCTGATTTCAGTGAAGGAAAGCATGACTTAAACCAAATTTTTAAATAAATAATAATACAAATACCTTTCTGAACACAATTTTAATGTAAAGTAGCAGACAATCAAATTAACCAAATAACTGTAAAGTAATAGATGTGTTTAATAGTTCAAAGGTCGGATTTATTTTGTTTTGTTTTACAAACAGGAATGCTCCTCAAGGCTGCTTAAAAAGATCATTGCAAACAAGGTAGTACAAAGATACTTGGCTGCATTGCATACCTGTGTTTGTAGGTGATTTAGAATGATGATTCCTTTGTCTCCGGGAGAATACTTGCATGAGAAGAACATTATTTATTTTAGTGAATTGAAACTGTTTCCTAATTTCAGGAACTGAAACTATTCCTCATGAGATTTCTGGCTGCATCACTGGAATGGTGCTAATGCCAAACCTCCAAACCCATTAGGTGCCTTCAGACCATAGATCTGCCTTCTTTATCCAGCCTTGGTATGGGGTGAAGTACTCTAACTGCATTTTAGCGTATCTGTGCCCCATAAACAGGCTTGCCATGGTTCCCAGGCAGGGAAAAAAGACTCTCTAGGAAAATTAACAAGACTTAAAATGCACAGTATGAAAAATAAATCTTAATAGTAGCTTAAATAAGTCTCACCCTTTTATGTTTCCCTGAACGTACAGGGTGAATCAGGCATGCCTTTCCACGGGTTCTGCTGGGGCCTGTCCAGCAGTACAAAATGCTCAGCCTCACACACGTGGCTGCTCATTACACTTTGCCCATCTCTTCGCATTTAGAGGAAGAAAAGTTAGGGACTTCATTCAGTTCTTCCCTTATGCCTATTTCTGTCATGTAGTCGTGGTAGTTTAATTTTCATGAATCTGTCTGCCTGCTTCTCAGATGTATCTGTATTGCCTCTTGACTCTGAGGGTGAGGTGCATCTGACTAAACGTAAATGTTTATATTTAAACAGGTCACCCAAGCTTGCTTTTGCAGTCTGTGGAAAGGAATAGGCATTTATTTACTTACTTAATAGGGATGGTTCACTATGATCAGTTTTAGAAATCTGTTAGGGCATGAGTAATCTGCTGTAGAAGTGCTTTGCTTTTTTTGACTGATCATACAGTAATCTAGATGACAAGTTCAGTGTAGACACTAGCATTTAGCCAAATGAAATTTACATTCAATGTCTTTGATCCTTAATTTACCTTGCAAGGTTTTTTGTTTCTCTTCTGTGTGCATGTATAAATCTATGTGCTGTGTAAGACACTGCCAAGAGCCTGTGATGCAGCCTTTTTAGTAACTGAACATTTTTATATAAAAATTAAGCATTTCTGAAAACGTAGGTTTCCATGGGATCCAACTGGAACAACAAAGAGAGCCTGAAGCAGGTGGGGTTTTTCCCCTTCCCAGTTTTCATTAATTTAGTTGTATTTTCTTGAGCTTTTGGGTGGACTCTACACCTGTATTAGCTAGACTTGTTGTTACTGCGTGATTTTTAGCATAATATTGTTTCTCCAAGAACATCCTGACCACAGTTAAAGTAGAGGTTAGTCTCTCTGCTCCAGTCCACAGGCAGCCATTAATAGCAGCAGCTGTGGTAAACTTCACCCTAGGTTTGATCCTTCAGGAAAAATCATGAGAGACCAGCCAACCCTAGGATTTAGCTATAGTGTAACAATGCCACAGACTTAACAGTTAAAATACATTGAAAGTAATGAAGACAGCTTTCTAGTCACTCAGTTTCTGACACTGAAGAATGTCTCTGTGTTTTATTAGAAAAGAAGGTCATTAGTGTTCTTTGTTCAGAAATTACATCACTCTGCTTGGTGGTCGCACTGAATGCTTTTCTTGTAGGAGTGACCTCCATGGACTTCTGAACTGTCAGTTCCATCCCTTATGATTATCTCTTGTGTTGCTTTGAATATTAATGGCACAAAGCCGTCCTTGTCTGCAGTGAGCACAATCCAAGAAGAGCCTACAAAAATTAAGCAAAAAAAAGAAAATGAGTGTACTGACTGCTCTGGTTCTGTAAATAAAAAGTCAGCCAGTATGCAGGCTTCTTTTTGTATACTAAAGCCTTATTACACTGATTACATTAAGATCTGACAATCCATGCTAAACACACCTTTGTGAAAATGCAAAGAGGGGCTAAATTTGAGGTATTTTGGCCCCTATTTAAATTAACTTGAAAGCCAAGGTGCATCTTTCCTCGTTCCAATAAACTATAGGTATCTCCATTTTCTGAAAACTCAGCCAGCCTTCCCATGCTGACTTCTGTTCTAGTGACTTCTGCTTATCCTTTTTGCTCATCCGCTCTACCCAAATGATGGAGAGATCATAACTGAAAAAGCTGGCAAAGAAACTGATTGTGCTGTATTTGTTCTAGAAGGAAGTAGGGGTTTCCATCTCCTTTACTGTCAAGCCAAGATTGTTCAGTGTGTTTTCAAATTCATATAGCAAATAGAAGTTACACCTTGAAGATGATTTACAAAAGCTGATATAATAAAATTTCTTGTCCTTTAATTATTTATCAAATCTTTTCAAAAAGAGAATGAACAAAATCTGAATGACTTTTTTAATCCTTTTTTTTCTGAAAAAGAAAAGCAAGGTTAAAAACCAAAGACATCGAAATCATTGAGGTTCACTTTCTGTGTTGCATAGAAGCAGAAAATAAACCTACCTCTCTCTTTGTTTTTTACTTTCCTTTGAAAGTCAGCTTGAAAATGAAGCTATCTATACCATATATTTTTTTTTCTAGTGATTCATCTTTTTCCTTTTGGACTGGATATTGCACTTCTTATAGAAAATAGTGAATTCTCTATTTGCCTTCTTTTCAGTTTGACATTGTACGAAAAAGAAAAAAATCCATGGCAACTGAAGGGCATTGTGGGAGTCCTTGTATTACATGCTTCTCTTAGAGCATATGATCCTGTCATTACTGAGTACGGGCATTACCTGGGATATGAGGTAAAGAAAGCCCTGATATGTTCTGTTGTTGAAATTTTTCATTGTGGGAGATAAAACTGTGTTTTGAAAAGGAATGTGAAAAAAGGAAGTGTAGAAAATCTAGCAGAACCATGTTTAATTTTTGTCAGTCATAACAAAGCATGTTCCTGGACAAGGCAAATCTCCCCTCCTTATACTATTAACAAAGCACTTTTCCAGGCTCTACACTATTGCATGCTGTCGTGTCAGCTGTTACATCATAAGAAGATTGCAATTACAAACCATGAATCTTTAATCTTCTACTCTTAACACCTGCTTTCCAATTCTGGACAGTCTTCAGGTTCTGTAAGCAATGGACTTGAAAGTGGAAATTCTGCTGTCCAAATTGATAGTTACACTGTTGGTCAAATTGATAAAGCACACTCTTCTGTCAAATTCTTGGGACTTTTTATTGTTATCCATTGAAATGTTTGAAATTCTCTGTGTCGTTGCTAACACTTGCTTTGGAGCATGTCCCACGAAATATTTTAATGGTGGAAAAACATGCAGAATGTGGTACCCTTTTGCAATGCACTATTATTATGATGATGACTTGCTGAAAAGAGAGACTTCTGTGTGCTAATACCAGGGCACTATATGACAGGCTATATTTAGTACAGGTAATGGTATTACAGTCCTGGGATTAAAGTGCAAACAATGAGGCCAAGTTCCTTGCCCATATAACTCTGATGATCTTAATAGCCTTGCTGTGGGTATGAATTTGGCCTACAGTTGTGAATTTTCTTCCCCCAATATATTCAAGTTTAAGTGTTTATTCAAAGTAAAATATACTAGGCTGTCATTGTAATATAAGCATGCTCTTCATTACATCCCCTTTAATTATATAGTATTAAAGGATGGGAGTGATATTTTTAAACATTCCATTTAATATTCATGCCTTGTGGCAAAGGAAAGATTTATGAATATAAACCTGTAGTGGTCAGAACTGAATAAAGAGCTATGTAACTATTTCTGCCCCAAACCTGATAATTCTGCAGGATTTTGGTGAGTTTTAGAAAGATTCTTGTTTCAGTTGTTCTTTTTGCTGTCAACAAACAGACTCAATTTCAGAAAATCTGAGCACCACATTGAACAGAAAGAGGGATACATTAGGATGATTCTGAGACATGGTCTTTTTGATATCTCTGAAGTCTAATGCATGAAATTAAGTGGTATTCTGCTAATTAAATATTAAATATTCAACTGTTCTGTAGAGCTGAAATTAGGTTTTCTCAGGCCTATTATTTATTATTTTTATACTGAATTCTAAACCTTTTTTTTTCCTTGTGGGCATTTGTTTCCAAAATCAAGAGCTGGGACTTACAGGCCAAAAATGTTAGCCTTGTTGCCCTACGAAGCCTTGTGTTATTGCAGAAGCCTGCTGGGAAATAGCTCAGGCCTCAACAAGTAGAGTTTTTTCATATATGCCTGCACTGTACAGTCAAGAGAGATTGCTGACAAAAATATGAAACCTGTATATCCTTACCTTCTGGAACAATTCTCAGGAACTGCTGTAAGCCAGGGCAAAACAGAAATGGGCCAATAAAGGCCATTATAAAGGCAGCTCCCCTGATCTGTATTGTATTTGTTGCCCCTTCATTCTTGTGGTCTCATCAACAAGGAGATAAACTGAATATGAATGGCAGAATGGTGCATATTTTACATCTCTTTTTCCCACAGTCCTTGGTGCCAGCACGAGTAACATCCAGGCCTGGTTTATTTTTCATCAACAAGCCTGTTATATAGCAATCTGGCATGTAACTGTCATTATTTAGACAACTATAACTTATAGTATTACTTTCCTTTTCTTTTTGATTTCACCAATAGTAGAATTCATTTCTCATAAAACAGAGTATACCGATTAAGCCAGTATGTCTCAGCTTGTCAGGGGCTAAAACAAGGGGTAAGACAGAGAGTAATTTATGAATCTCTCAGTGTGGAAACCGTGCAAGGAGATCATAATTATAGCCAACTACTCTGTACTGTAAGATCATAATATACTTCGACTGTGATGAGAAAAGCCATCAGAAGCATTATAGAGACATGGCTAAAAAATAACAGTATGTATGTTGCTGAGAAGGCAGCATACATGAACAGATAGGGATGAGGTAATTCAGTTTGGGGCTAGGATTTCACTAGCTGCTTCTATCCTTACCAGTTAATCAGTAGTGGGTGGTAGAAATGTGAGATTGGCAAATTAGAACATTGAGCTTCATTGTTTATCTTTAAAATAATTCCAAATTCTACAAGATGCATGTATGTATAATATTCTGAGAATGAATTTTTCTCCAATGTACTCTCTATTATCAGGTCTGGGATATGCTTGTAAAGGTGGGCAAAGCAAAATGCCAAAAGGTCTCAAGGAAGCATATCTATTTCCAGGCAACACACTGTACTGATTATTTTCTCAGTCTTCCTCTGTAGAGGCATGTAACATATTACTCTCTTAATAGGTAGCTCTGCAGTTACTTAGCATTTAAGTGATTTCAGGAGACACTTCCATATTTCAGACAAAGAAAAAAAAAATACCAAAAAAAGTTAGCTATCTCAGCTTACTACAGTGTGGGGTAATTAATTAGTCTACCACAAATGCTTCTTTTATGCTAAAAAACAGGTGAAACCAGATACCAGAAGTAAAATAAACATACCATGTTTCATTTCAATAACAGCCAGATGAAACAGCTGCTGTACTAAGTTCAAATGGATCTTGCCATTACAGAGGAGAATGTCTTTTGTTTCTTCAGTAACTGCTCCATTTGAAAAACTTTTCTTCAAAGGCATGCATGTAAAAGAAAAGATCTTGTTAGACATTGTGCCTGGGTTCTTTTAAGCGTTTGTCTGCTCTTACTTCTTTCAGTTCTTCAGTCATTTTGCTTTTTGTTTGTCCATCTTTGCTACAATTTATAGATGACCATCATGCACTGCAATTCTAAGCACAATCTCATAGTCCCATGTGAAGAGGAATGTAACCCTTTGCTTTTTGCTTTGTGTGCTTATGCAGCAAAAAACTGCACCAGCCCTGTATATATCATGTATTAGGTCACGCATATACACATCCTTTGGGCATTTCTGTCTGAAGAGTCAGTTCGGTGGAAGGGAATATATCATGGCTGGAATAGAGTTGTCCAAGATGCTACCAGAGCAAATGAGTCCTCTGCTCAGTTTAAGTTGTATGCATGGATGATTTTGATAGTCTTTGGTCAGCTATTCCACCCCAGTAAAATAACCTCAGTTCTGGCATAGAGCGACAGTTTCTCTGAAAAGCTGTCATAACAAGGTAGCTTGGGAATCCTGTGACTTTCTTTGAGAGGGAATGTATGGATTTACAGCCCTGGAATTTGCTCTGACATTCACTGAAAGAACACACTTGAATACAGAGGTGGCATATTTGTGTTTCATGAAGTTTAGCTGGCCTTGAGAATCAACACCTTTGTGTTCTATCATTCTGATTACTACAAAGAGCAAGGATCACAAAATAGTTGAACTAATATGGTTATGGAGTGGGTATATATTTGCATTTACACTTTCCTATCTGCTATAATTTGAAAGTAATTTTAGCTTCAAGAATTTTCCAGGGACTCAATGCCATTATCAAATATATGTGAATTGGACATTTTCTTCTAAATCATCTTGTTATACTTTATCCTGTGGATTTCATTTTGTTCTTTCCTCTCCGTACTTTCCATCTGTGTAGTTCCCATGTGTTATGTTTGGGGTTTTTTTTCTCTTTGGCATCCTTTATGGCTATTTATCCCATTTCCTAGACCTTTCTGTTTTGTGCATTCAGAAGGGATCCAAGTTAACATTTTAGAATGGGTTGAAAAGATGACATCTACCCTAACTCTTATTCTAGTCCTACCCTGCCTTGAATCTTTCCTGACAATATGAATCTTACAGTTGAATGAATTCACAACTGCATCTTCTATTTCTGTGCATAGTAATCTAATCTTTGACTAAATAAATGTCTCTTGTAATGCTTGTCTTCATTTCTAATTGTGCTGTCTTTTGACTCAGTTGCTCTCTCAGAGAACATGTGCTTTTTCTGCTGTGTAACAACCTTTCTAAATCAATCCCTTTCATTTTTCTGTACATAGTATGTGTGCTGTCATGCAACCACATTGGATTCTGTAAATCAGAATGTCTACCAACTGTTGCAAAATATTTTTTCCCCACTCTATCATAAATTGGCCATGCAGATAGTCTATGGCTGATTTTTATTTATATATTATGATTGACTGAAGATGAAAGAACTGTAAAAATATCTTTCCATTAAAAGTGTAAACTTTCCAACTTTCAAAGGTCTTCTTGTATCTTTCTCTATTAAAAACATCCAGAAATTCGTTGCTGTGTGATTAATGGGGAAAAACCTAAGGAATGCATCGAAGAAGTATCATTTTCTTCATCATAAACTTATAGTAACTTTTTATTACTGCTATAACTATATAACAGAACTTCCTTTCATTTTTAGGTCTCTTCAGATTATATAGTACTAGATTCTATTGAACCTAAATACACTTAAAACTCAATGGGCTGAATGTTCAGCAGTGAGCCTGTGCTTTGCATTTGCATTGCAAAGATGCTATTTGCCTGTACAGGTATCTGTGCAAAGCTTTTCATTGCTGCATATTGTGGATTAGCACATCTCATGACTATTTAATTTTCCTGAATTCAGGCTGAAGTAGCAGAGTTTATTCAAACTTATACTTCAGTTGATGAATTACAGAAAAAGGTGGACTGTAAATGAGACAGGCACATTGCCTTAATCCAAGGGATTCATTCTTTTCATGTAGATATGCTTCAACTCAAGAATAATCAGAAAACAATCTAGCTCTGTCTCTGTTGACTTGAAATCAGTTGAATGGAAATGTATACTAAAGATGACTTCATTCTAGTATGTTTCCTACTTAGCCTTGCAAGTTATTACTAGAACAGCCATTGGAAGTGGAAGACATTTTTGTAAATACAAAACTACACAGTATCTAGTTTTTATCCTAACCAGTTTTTCAAGTACAGATCTCAAAGCTTAAGTTTCAGAGTTGTTTGTCTTTCGTTACTTGTGAGCATTCATATTGGCTCTTCTCTCTGTCTTTGTCATATACTTCTGTTCGTAATTATAAACTTAATCATCTTTACATTTATTTTTGTCTGCTAGCAAATTCTGTCAGGTCAAGAATCCTCCTCTGTTTTAATCTTCTAATTATTTAGCCTTTATTTGTTTAAGTGACGATAACATGCCTTCTGTTTGAGGAATATGTTCACACACATCATATCATAGATTAACTGATTTAAATCCATGCCTTCTTGAGAGACACGTAACTCTTAGTATTCCATTTTTATAGATGATCAAACTATTACATAGGAAGATTAAGAGATTTACTCAAGGTCATGGAAGTAATCTATGACAGAGTTAGAAATACAGCTAAAATCTCACCTTAGCACTTCCCATTTTCATGCCTTAACCTAAAGTAAATTTTCTAGCCAAATCTAAATTTAATCCACCTTTTTTCAAAATATATATCTGGTTTTACTATGTTGCTATTTATCTCCAATAGAAGCCAGAGGACTTGCACATCTCAGATTAAAATTCCTTAATGTTAGTTGCTTTATCCTAAATTATACTGGTAGACCAAGAACATATTAATCACAGAAGAAACAAATATATTTCCATATATGTGAGAAGATATTTTCAGATTGTTTCAGATTTAAGTTTCTTTAACCAACTTCCTGTAGTATGTTTTCTTTTCTTTTTTTTTCTTTTCTTTTTTTCCACAGAATCATTCAGGTTGGAAAAGACCCTTGAGATCATCGAGTCCAACCATCAGCCCTACTCTGCAAATTTCTCCGCTACACCACATCCCCCAACATCTCATCTAAACGACCCTTAAACACACCCAGGGATGGTGACTCCACCACCTCCCTGAGCAGCCCATTCCACTGTCTGACCACTCTTTCTGTGATTTTTTTTTTCCTAATGGACAGTCTAAACCTCCTCTATTGCAGTTTAAATGTCAAATGAAGTTTAAATGTTTAAATGCAATTTTTATGTCAAATCCAACTCTCCCTCAACAAAAATCCAACAGAAAGAAACCATCAATTCAAGAATTGTTTCCCTTCCTCCGTCAGCCTGCCCCTTGATCAGATTTTATAGCCTATAAAGGGTCTTCTGGGCAGTAGCCAGCCCATCACAGCGTTGCCAAACTGTCTTTCAAAACTCATGTTTTGGAATGCAAATATATACAAGAAGAAAATAATTTACTAAGGCAGTGGGGTTCCTGCATTAGTTATGTATATATACCATTATATATATATTAGTTATTATATATGCTGTAAGTTTGCACAATAAACAAGCATGTCTTCTATCACGTTTTTGAACCCCACTGAGCGGTCAGCTAGTTCTGCCTCTTGACTTTTTTCACTATTTATCTTGTATCTTCTAATGCGCTGCCTACACTTGCCTGGATGTTAAGATCATCTTCATGAACATGAATTTAATGACTGATAAAACAGTGGGGTAAATAAGAATATACTATCAATCAGAATTGTTTTAACTAACACTGGATTAATGATTGATTGCAGTTTGAATATGTCTTTCTTGCACATGGATGTCTAGAAATGTAAAATGTTACCCAGTTGAGGCCTCATGGCCCTGTTCATAGAATGTTTCGGGTTGGAAGGGACCTTAAAGATCATCTAGTTCCAACCCCCCTGCCATGGGCAGGGACACCTTGCACTAGACCAGGTTGCCCAAAGCCCCATCCAAGCTGGCCTTGAACACTGCCAGGGAGGGGGCAGCCACAGCTTCTCTGGGCAACCTGTGCCAGGGCCTCAAGCAACCTCACAGAAGTGAAGAACTTCTTCCTTACATCTAGTCTAAATTTACCCTCTTTCTGAAAGAAAGCCATTGCTCTTTGTCCTATCACTACATGCCCTTGTAAAAAGTCCCTTCACAGCTTGCCTGTAGCCCTCTTTAAGTACTGGTAGGCCACTATTAAGTCTCCCTGGAGCCTTCTCTTCTCTAGGCTGAACAACCCCAACTCCCTCAGCCTGTCCTCACAGGTGAGGTGCTCCAGCCCCCTGAGCATCTTCATGGTCTCCTCTAGACTTGCCCGAGCAGGTCCATGCCTTTCTTATCCAGAGCTGAATGCAGTAGTCAAGGTGGGGTCTCACAAGAGCAGAGTAGAAGGGGAGAATCACCTCCCTTGACCTACTGGCCACACTCCTCTTAATGTAGCCCAGGACACGGTTGGCTTTCTGGACTGTGAGCACACATTTCTGGCTCACAGTGAGTTTTCCATCCACTACTACTCCCAAGCCCTTCTCCTCAGGGCCGGTCTCAATCCACTCATCACTCAGCCTGTATTTGTGCTTGGGATTTCCCTGACCCATATGCAGGGCCTTGCATTTGGCTTTGCTGAACTTCATGAGGTTTCTACAGGCCCAGCTCTCGAGCCTGTCATGGTCCCTCTGGATGACATCCCTTCCCCCCAGCATGTCAACCGCACCACACAGATTGGTGTAATTGTCAGACTTGCTGAGGGTGCACTCAGCCCCACTGTCCGTGTCACCAACAAAGTTGTTAAACAGCTCCGGTCCCAATACCAACCCCTGAGGAACATCACTTGTCACTGCTCTCCACTTGGACATCAAGCTGTTGACCCCAACTCTTTGAGTGTGACCATCCAGCCAATTCCTTATCCACTGAGTGGTCCATCCATGAAATCCATGTCTCTCTAATTTAGAGACAAGCATGTTGTGCAGGACAGTCCCAA